CCCGCGGAAAGTTTGTCCGGCAGGCAAGGGGGAGGATGGAGCTGGGGGAGCCTGCGTCGGCGCCCCTCAACCGGTCCCGAGCCGGGGCAGAGCCGCCCCGCGGGGAGTTCAACCTCTCCGGGCTGCCGGAGGCGGAGGGGAAACCCCTCTTCGGCATTGGCATCGAGAACTTCATCACCTTGATTGTCTTCGGCTTGATCTTCACCCTGGGGGTGCTGGGCAACTCGCTGGTGATCACGGTGCTGGCGAGGAGCAAGCCAGGCAAGCGCCACAGCACCACCAACATCTTCATCCTCAACCTGAGCATCGCCGACCTGGCCTACCTGCTCTTCTGCATCCCCTTCCAGTCCACGGTATACGTGCTCCCCACCTGGGTGCTGGGCGCCTTCATCTGCAAGTTCATCCACTACTTCTTCACCGTCTCCATGCTGGTGAGCATCTTCACGCTCTCAGCTATGTCTGTGGACCGCTACGTGGCCATCGTGCACTCCCGACGCTCCTCGGACTTGCGCGTTTCCCGCAATGCACTGCTGGGCGTGGGGCTCATCTGGGCGCTCTCCTTCGCCATGGCCTCACCTGTGGCTCACCACCAGCGCCTCTTCCACCGCGAGGCCAGCAACCAGACCTTTTGTTGGGACCACTGGCCCAACCCACGCCACAAGAAGGTCTATGTGGTTTGCACATTCATCTTCGGATATCTGCTCCCACTGCTGCTCATCTCCTTCTGCTATGCCAAGGTGGGGCAAAGTGGGTGGTGGTGGAGGGTATGTAAAAGGGATGGGGGGGACAATGGTGGTGGGTGTCCATGAGCTGTGGGGCCATCTCTGGGTACGTGGAGGGACACGGTACTGTGGAGAGGCAATGGGGTAGAGGTGAGTTTGTGGCACAAAGGGAGAGGACAGGTTTTATAGGCGAGGGATGACTAGGGGGACACACACGTGTGTGTGTGGCACGGACAGGTCGGGACAGGGACTGGGTGGGGAGGTGGGGGTGTTCTGGCAATTCCTGGGGTCCCTCTGACAGATTTCCTTCTGGCAAAGTGCCGAGAAGCCCCAGCACTCTGCTGCTTTCTCTGGCACTACAACTCTCCTATTTCCTTCCAGCGCTGTATGAGGAGTTTTACTTAAATAAAGCAACAAGTTGTTCAGGCTTCAGACGAAGCATTGCGGGTTCTTTAAAATGCAGCGCACTTAAAAATCACACAAATCCACCAAGCGCGGTCTGATCCAGTAACGTGTTAAGAGCAAAAGGTGAATCACGCTGCCTGGTGCCTGTGAGCCCCGTCTTGCCCCAGTTGAAGTGGATGAGGGATTTACCCCTGTCTTCAGCAAGGGCAGGTGGGCTAGGGAGCAGTGTGTGAGGACCCAGGCAGGAAAAGGCCATAAGTAAGGTTGCCCAAATAAGGGTATTTATATAATAAATAAGGGTATAATAAGGACTTTTCTGCTTGGGCAAACCGTCACATTTTTCTATGAATATTACATGCAGCCTTCAGCATAGGGTCTGCTGCTTGCTGCTGGACAGGGTCTGGAGCACCAGCTGCTACCTGCCGAGTTGGGCAGAGATCCTGTCCATGCCAGCAACCTCCAGTGGCAAGATTTATTCTTGGGCAGTAATTTACATACGAGAGGATAGGTCTGCTCTTGCAAATAAGGACCGCTTAAGCGCCGAGAAGTCAGTTCTTTAACTGGCAAGTTAAACAGGTTAAAATAATGCATTTAATTTGAACAAATAATTTTATCCTCTGTTTACTTTTATATGTGTTACCTCAGCTTAATTGTGATGTGCAAATTAAGGCTAGGATGGCATCCAATTCTGCTAAAACCCTCTTATGCACAACTTAAAGGGCAACTTTTCTAAACTACTGTTTGTAATGAAACAAGTCTGACCTGGCAAATGGAGAAGTAGTAGTACATGTATTTGTACATAAGCTGAATTCTGTTTTCCCTGGGTGAATACACTGGTATTTCATCTACAGTGGTGAATATGACTGAGCTGAGAGAGGCATGAAACTTGCTATAGCCATAGATCATCAGAGTTTTAAGAAAATAGTACATGTTTCAGGGAGACTGTTACTGATTGTGCGCAGAAGGAGCTTTTCAGCTATTAAGAGTTCTTGTATTTTTCAAAGCCAAAGCACCATCAATTTCAGTGTAGAGTACCAGCCTTCAAACTCTAATTATCTCACAGAAAATTGAAAACAAGTCTTTCAAAATTATGGCAGTCCTTCATAGCATAGGGGGGAAAAAAGGAAATAGGCTTAAACAAAATATAAGCATAGTAAATAGAACACACCATGTTGTTACAAAGCACTGCTACAAAAGCAGATATCTCAGTATTTAGTTTAAAAAAAGGCAACCTAAAACAACCCTGTGTGAAATACATGCCTAGAATTACTTAACAAAATCACACCCACTCAGTTACAAGTAAAATCTTGTGCTTCAGTTAAGGCCAAGGGTAGGATCTCACCCTTGCTTGGTGATGTGTTCTGAGCCTGTATGTATGATCCTGCTTGCCATGATGTCAAGGTGGAGGATTCAACCTGCAGGAATGAGTTCTAGGAGATACCTAGTATTCCCAGCACTGTCAATGAAGCTGAAAAATGCCGTGCCTAATACAAGACTACTGAAGGTATTTGTACCCTGCAGCGTAAAGGCTCATTTCTGCCCTCATTAGGAGCCTCTGGCAAATCTCCAGCTGCAATGTTTTGGCACATGGGGCAGAGTGAGGGAGATGATAAGGATGATAGGAGTTGAAAATCAGAGATGAAGTTTTAGGTTCATCAAAGCCATTGCCACTCTCACAGGTTTCCAAGTGGAGTGGTCACTGTGAGCTTTTACTGATGTCACTAAAGTACTATGAAGCACAAGAAGTGTTTTGGCTTCTGAATGCACGCAGGGTTGGAGGATCTCTGCTGTGTGATAAACTCGGAAGTATTATAAAAATAAATGCATTGGTTTCTTGTGGACTTCACTGGTTTTCATGAACTGTGGACCAGCTAAATAACGCAATCTTCTGATACAGTAGATTAAGACAAAGTAGACTCATAGCTCTATTAGAATATATTGCCTTTTCCAGACTCCTTTAAGGCAATTCTGTTTCTTTTATAAGCAAATTGCAATTGAACTTTCAGTTTTCGAAGTCTCATTTTTCAGGCACTCTAATAGGGAGCTGAGTTCTTTCTCTGACTCTCTCTCAAATTATTTTGGGGGAGATTTGTATTTTTCCCAGTGGACAGCAGCACTGTAACAACCTACAGAAGTGCTGAAATAGTGCTAGGTATTTGGAAACAGTGTCCTCCCACAAACTCAGAACTGGAGGTCTCATGTGACGTGCTCTTAAGGCAGAGATTTATGGGATCATGCTCTGCGTCATGTTGTACAGCTAGCTGTTTCCTCTCTCCCACAAATAACTTTCGGTCAGTTACAACCTAATTTTATAGAGTGAAAATATCAGAAGGAATGGTATTTCCCTAGTTTTGTGAGAACAGGAGTCAATGGAGAAGGTGGAGAGTCTCCATCTTCTCTCTCCTTTAAGGAGAGTCAGTTTGCGCTGAGCTCTTACACATCAGACAAGCCATAGGGGGAAGGGGGAAGAGGTTTTATGTAGCTTCTACTTATGGAGGAGACACGTCTTTTTGGGAACACACTGTCAAGAAATCACAAATCCACAGGAAACCAGCTTTTGTTGGCTCACAGAACTGCTTGTGAAAACAACTTACTACTCCAGCCAGAAGAGCAGTGATATGTATAGTTATTGGTTGAGTTACAGCAGCTGCATACTTCTAAACAGCCTGAGTTCTTTTTTTTTTTTGCTCACTATGTTACTTAGTGTATTTTTTTTATTACTGGCTTTTTGTATGTGTGTTGTAACACTGCTACAACATTTGCTCACTAATTTGTTCTTAAAGGGCAAAGTGATCAATGATTCCCAGTGAGCTTCTAACGATTGCACTACCCTGGCAGATGCCAATGTTACTACTGATCTTGGATGCCTCTGCTTTTGAGTACCCAATTATGAGGCTTCAGTCCTTGAAAATCAGGCCTCCTTCAATCAAACCTATGGACACCTAAAATCATTAGCAAACTCTTCCTTTTATCGATGTTAAAAGCTATTTTTAACATATTCCTTGCCTTAAGAATGTCTGCATTATTATCTATCGTTCTGAATTCATGGATGTGGTGGGTTGACCATGGCTGGATGCCAGGTGCCCACCAAAGCTGCTCCATCACTGCCCTCCTGAGCTGAACGGGGCAGAGAAAATATAAGGAGAAGCTTGTGGGTCGAGATAAGGACACTCAGCAATTACCATCATGGGCAAAACAGACTTGACTTTGGGAAATTAAATTAATTTATTGCCAATCAGAATCGGAGTAGGGTAATGAGAAATAAAACCA